AGGGTTACAGAGCGTGAGAGAGCCTACCTGAGGGGGATTCAAGCGACAGGCAAGTAGAGCCTACCAGAGGGGATCGGGTTACAGGGCAGGTGAGAGAGCACCTGAGGGGGGGATCTAGGGCAGGGCAGAGATAGAGCCAACCTGAGGGGGATCTAGGGTTACAGAGCAGGTGAGAGAGCCTACCTGAGGGGGATCTAGGGTTACAGAGCAGGTGAGAGAGCCTACCGAGGATCTTAGGTTACAGGGCAGGTGAGAGAGCCTACCTGAGGGGGGATCTGGGGTTACAGGGCAGGTGAGAGAGCCTGAAGGGGGATCTTGGGTTACAGGGCGAGGTGAGAGAGGCCTGCCTGGGGGGGATCTGGGGTTGGGGCAGGTGAGAGAGGCCTGCCTGAGGAGGGGTCTAGGGTTACAGAATGGTGAGAGAGCCTGCCTGAGGGGGATCTAGGAGTAACAGGGCAGGTGAGAGAGCCTACCTGAGGATCTTGGGTTACAGGGCAGGTGGGGCTACCTGAGGGGGGATCTTGGGTTACAGGGCGGTGAGAGGCCTACCTGGAGGGGGATCTAGGGGTTACAGGGCAGGTGGGAGAGCCTACCTGAGGGGGATCCTAGGGGTAACAGGGCAGGTGAGAGGAAGGCCTGCCTGGAAGGGGATCTTGGGTTGGGGCAGGTGAGAGAGCCCTGCCTGGAAGAGATCTAGAGTTACAGGGCGGGTGAGAGCCTGCCTGTGAGGGGGGGGATCTTGGGTTACAGGGCAGGTGAGAGGCCTGCAGGGGATCTGGGGTTACAGGTGGGTGAGAGGCCTACCTGAGGATCTTGGGTTACAGGGCAGGTGGAGAGCCTACCTGAGGGGGGATCTAGGGGTTACAGGGCAGGTGGGAGCCTGCAGGGGGATCTTGGGTTGCAGGGCAGGTGAGGAGGAGCCTGCCTGGGGGGGATCCTGGGGTTGGGGCGGGTGAGAGCCTACCTGGGGGGGATCTGGGGTTGCAGAGCAGGTGAGGCGTGCCTGAGGGATCTGGGGTTACAGGCAGGGTGAGAGCCCTGCCTGAGGGGGATCTGGGGAGGGTTACAGAGCAGTGAGGCCTGCCTGAGGGATCTGGGGTTACAGAGCAGGTGAGGAGAGCCTACCTGAGGGGATCTGGGTAACAGGGCAGGTGAGAGAGGCCTGAGGGATCTGGGGTAACCAGGGCAGGTGAGAGCCTGCCTGAGGGGGATCTGGGGTTACAGGGCAGGTGAGAGAGCCTGCCTGAGGGATCTGGGAGGTTACAGAGCGGGTGAGAGAGCCTACCTGAGGGGGGGATCTGGGGTTACAGGGCCGGGTGGGAGAGGCCTGCCTGAGGGGGGATCTGGGGAGGTTACAGGGCGGGTGAGAGAGCCTGCCTGGGGATCTGGGGTTACAGGAGCAGGTGAGAGAGCCTGCCTGAGGGGGATCTGGAGGTTACAGAACAGGTGAGGAGGCCTACCTGAGGATCTGGGGTTACAGAGCAGGTGAGAGCCTGCAGGGGGGATCTGGAGTAACAGGGCAGGTGAGAGAGCCTACCTGTGGGGGATCTGGGGTAACAGGGGTGAGGTGAGAGAGCCTACCTGAGGGGGATCCTAGGGTTACAGGGCAGGTGAGAGCCTGCCTGGGGGATCTGGGGTTACAGGAGGGCAGGTAGAGAGCCTGCAGGGGGGATCTAGGTTGGCAGGGCAGGTGAGATGGCCTGCCTGAGGATCTGGGGTTACAGGGCAGGTGGAAGCCTACCTGAGGGGTCTGGGGTTGAGACGGGTGAGCCTGAGGAGGGATCTGGGGTTACAGGGGCGGGTGAGAGCCTACCTGAGGGGGGATCTGGGGTTGCAGGGCAGGTGAGAGCCTGCCTGAGGGGGGATCTGGGGTTACAGGGCAGGTGAGAGAGCCTGCCTGAGGGGGATCCTAGGGAGTAACAGGGCAGGTGAAGAGCCTGCCTGAAGGGATCTGGGGTTACAGAATGGGTGAGAGAAGCCTGCAAGGGGGGATCTGGGGTAACAGGGCAGGTGAGAGCCTGCCTGAAGGGCGATCTGGGGTTACAAGAGCAGGTGAGAGCCTACCTGAGGGGGATCTGGGGTAACAGGAGCAGGTGAGAGAGCCTACCTGGGGGGGATCTAGGGTAACAGAGCAGGTGAGAGAGCCTACCTGGGGGATCTAGGAGTAACACTCTGAAGCCAGAGTGAGAGAGCCTACAGGGGATCTGGGAGTAACAGGGCAGTGGGGAGAGAGCCTACCTGAGGGGATCTGGGGTAACCAGAGCAAGGTGAGAGCCTACCTGGGGGGGATCTGGGGTTACAGAGCAGGTGAGAAGCCTGCCTGAGGGGGGGATCTGGGGTTACAAACCCCAGGTGAGAGAGCCTACCTGAGGGGGGATCTGGGGTTACAGGGCAGGTGAGAGAGCCCTGCAGAGGGATCCTGGGGTTACAGAGCAGGTGGGAGGCCTGGGGGATCTGGGGTTACAGGGCAGGTGGAGGCCTGCCTGAGGGGGATCTCTGGGGCACCAGGGGCAGGTGAGAGGGCTGGGATCTGGGTTACAGAGCAGGTGAGAGAGCCTGCAGGGGGATCTGGGGTTACAGAGCAGGTGAGCCTGGGGGGGATCTGGGGTTACCAGAGCAGGTGAGGCCTGCCTGAGGGGATCCTGGGGTTACAGAGCAGGTGAGAGCCTACCTGCAGGGGGGATCTGGGAGTAGCAAGGGGCAGGTGTGAGAGAGCCTGCCTGAGGGGGTCTGGGGTAACAGGGCAGGTGAGCCTACCTGAGGGGATCTGGGGTTACAGGGCAGGTGGAGAGCCTGCCTGAGGGGGATCTGGGTTACAGAGCAGGTGAGAGAGGCTACCTGGGGATCTGGGGTTACAGAGCAGGTGAGAGGCCTACCTGAGGGGATCTGGGGTTACAGAGCAGGTGAGAGAGCCTACCTGAGGGGGATCTGGGGTTACAGAGCAGGTGAGAGCCTACCTGAGGATCTGGGTAACAGGGCAGGTGAGAGAGCCTACCTGAGGGGGATCTGGGGTGGCTGGGGCGGTGAGAGAGCCTGAGGGGGGGATCTAGGGGTTACAGGGCAGGTGAGAGAGGCCTACCTGAGGGGGATCTGGGGTTACAGAGCAGGTGAGAGAGCCTGCCTGAGGATCTAGGGTTACAGGGCGGGTGAGAGAGCCTGCCTGAGGGGGATCTGGGGTAACAGGGCCGGGTGAGGCCTGCCTGAGGGGGTCTGGGGTTACAGAGCGGGTGAGGAGAGCCTGCCTGAGGGGGATCTGGGGTTACAGGCAGGTGAGAGGCCTGGGGATCTGGGGTTACAGAGCAGGTGAGGAGAGCCTGCCTGAGGGGGGGGGATCTGGGGTAACCAGGGCAGGTGAGAGAGCCTGCAGGGGGATCTGGGGTAACAGGGAGCCGGGTGAGAGAGCCTGCCTGAGGGGGGGGTTCTAGGGTTACAGGGCAGGTGGAGAGCCTACTGAGGATCCTAGGGTAACAGGGCAGGTGAGAGGAGAGCCTGCCTGAGGGGGGATCTGGGGTTACAGAGCAGGTGGAGAGCCTGCCTGGGGGGATCTGGGGTTACAGGACAGGAGGAGAGCCTACCTGAGGGGACCTAGGGCAACAGGGCAGGTGAGAGAGCCTACATGAGGGGGACCTAGGCAACAGGGCAGAGCCTACCTGAGGGGGATCTAGGTAACAGGCAGGAGAGAGCCCACCTGACAGGAAATCCAGGGTAACAGAGCAGGAGAGAGCCTACCTGAGGGGGGGATCTGGGGTAACAGGGCAGGTGAGAGAGCCTACCTGAGGGGGGGATCTAGGGGCAACAGAGCAGGTGAGAGAGCCTACCTGAGGGGGGATCTGGGTTACAGAGCAGGTGAGAGAACAGCCTGAGGGGGATCGGGTAACAGGGCAGGTGAGAGAGCCCGCCTGAGGGGGATCTAGGTTACAGGGCAGGTGAGAGAGCCTACCTGAAGGGGATCTAGGGTAACAGGGCAGAGAGAGCCTACCTGAGGGGGGATCTAGGGTTACAGGGCAGGTGAGAGACTCACCTGAGGGGGGGATCTAGGGGTTACAGAGCAGGTGAGAGAGCCTACCTGAGGGGGGGATCTAGGGCAACAGGGCAGGTGAGAGCCTACCTGAGGGGGGATCTGGGGCAGGGCAGGTGAGAGAGCCTACCTGAGGGGGATCTGGGGTAACAGGGCAGGAGAGAGAGCCTACCTGAGGGGGGGATCTAGGTTACAGGGCAGGTGAGAGAGCCACCGAGGGGGGGATCTAGGGTAACAGGGCAGGTGAGAGAGCCTACCTGAGGGGATCTGGTTACAGGGCAGGTGAGAGAGCCTACCTGAGGGGGGGATCTAGGGTTACAGGAGCAGGTGAGAGAGCCACCTGAGGGGGATCTAGGTTACAGGGCAGGTGAGAGAGCCACCTGAGGGGATCTAGGGTTGCAGGGCAGGTGAGAGAGCCTACCTGAGGGGGATCTAGGGTAACAGGGCAGGTGAGAGAGCCTACCTGAGGGGGATCTAGGGTAACAGGCAGGTGAGAGAGCCTACCTGAGGAGGGATCTGGGGTTACAGGGCAGGTGAGAGAGCCTGCCTGAGGGGGGGACGGGGTTATCAGAGCAGGTGGAGAGCCTACCTGAGGGGGGATCTAGGTTACAGGGCAGGTGAGAAGCCTACCTGAGGGGGATCTAGGGTAACAAGGCAGGTGAGAGAGCCTACCTGAGGGGGATCTAGGTTACAGGGCAGGTGAGAGAGCCACCTGAGGGGGATCTAGGGTACAGGGCAGGTGAGAGAGACCTGAGGGGGGATCTAGGGTAACAGGGCAGGTGAGAGACCTGAGGGGGGGATCTAGGAAGGTGGGTAGAGAGCCACCTGAGGGGGATCTAGGGTTACAGAGCAGGTGAGAGAGCCTACCTGAGGGGGATCTAGGTTACAGGGGCAGGTGAGAGAGCCTACCTGAGGGGGGGATCTAGGGTTGCAGAGCAGGTGAGAGAGCCTACCTGAGGGGGGATCTAGGGGTTACAGGCAGGTGAGAGCTACCTGAGGGGGGATCTAGGGTTACAGAGCAGGTGAGAGAGCCTACCGAGGGGGGATCTTAGGTTCACAGAGCAGGTGAGAGAGCCTACTGAGGGGGATCTAGGGTTACAGAGCAGGTGAGAGAGCCTACCTGAGGGGGATCTAGGGTTACAGAGCAGGTGAGAGAGCCACTGAGGGGGGGGATCTAGGTTACAGGGCAGGTGAGAGAGCCACCCTGGAGGGGATCTAGGGTTACAGGGCAGGTGAGAGCTACCTGAGGGGGGATCTAGGTTACAGGGCAGGGGAGAGAGCCTACCTGAGGGGGGATCTAGGGTTACAGGGCAGGTGAGAGAGCCTACCTGGGAGGGGGGATCTAGGGTAACAGGGCAGGTGAGAGAGCCCACCTGAGGGGATCTAGGGTCAGGGCAGGTGAGAGAGCCTACCTGAGGGGGGGATCTAGGGTAACAGGGCAGGTGAGAGAGCCACCTGAGGGGGGATCTAGGGCAGGGCAGGTGAGAGAGCCTACCTGAGGGGGGGATCTTGGGTTACAGGGCAGGTGAGAGCCTACCCTGAGGGGGGATCTAGGTAACAGGCGGGTGAGAGAGCCACCTGGAGGGGGACTAGGTAACAGAGAGGTGAGAGAGCCTACCTGAGGGGGGGGATCTAGGGTTACAGGGCAGGTGAGAGAGCTACCTGAGGGGGATCTAGGTTACAGGGCAGGAGAGAGCCTACCTGAGGGGGGGATCTAGGGTTACAGAGCAGGTGAGAGAGCCTACCTGAGGGGGGATCTAGGTTACAGGGCAGGTGAGAGAGCTTACCTGAGGGGGATCTAGGGTTACAGAGCAGGTGAGAGAGCCTACCTGAGGGGGGATCTAGGGTTACAGGGCAGGTGAGAGAGCCTACCTGAGGGGGGGATCTAGGGTAACAGGGCAGGTGAGAGAGCCCACCTGAGGGGGGGATCTAGGGTTACAGAGCAGGTGAGAGAGCCTACCTGAGGGGGGATCTAGGGGTTACAGGGCAGGGGAGAGAGCCACCAGGGGGGGATCTGGGGTTACAGAGCAGGAGAGAGCTACCGAGGGGGGGGGGATCTAGGGTAACAGGGCAGGTGAGAGAGCCCACCTGAGGGGGGGATCTAGGGTTACAGGGCAGGAGAGAGCCTACCTGAGGGGGGATCTAGGGGTTACAGGGCAGGTGAGAGAGCCTACCTGAGGGGGGATCTGGGGTAACAGGGCAGGTGAGAGAGCCTACCTGAGGGGGGGATCTAGGGTAACAGGGCAGGTGAGAGAGCCTACCTGAGGGGGGGATCTAGGGTACAGGGCAGGTGAGAGAGCCTACCTGAGGGGGGATCTGGGGTACAGGGCAGGGGGAGAGAGCCTACCTGAGGGGGGGGATCTTGGGGTAACAGGGCAGGTGAGAGAGCCTACTGAGGGGGGGATCTGGGGTAACAGGGCAGGTGAGAGAGCCTACCTGAGGGGGGGATCTGGGTAACAGGGCAGGTGAGAGAGCCTACCTGAGGGGATTTAGGGTTACAGGGCAGGTGAGAGAGCCTACCTGAGGGGGATCTGGGGTAACAGGGCAGGTGAGAGAGCCTACCTGAGGGGGGATCTGTTACAGGGCAGGTGAGAGAGCCTACCTGGAGGGGGGATCTAGGGTTACAGGGCAGGTGAGAGAGCCTACCTGAGGGGGGGATCTGGGGTAACAGGGCAGGTGAGAGAGCCTACCTGAGGGGGATCTAGGGTTACAGGGCAGGTGAGAGAGCCTACCTGAGGGGGATCTAGGTTACAGGGCAGGTGGAGAAGCCTGAGGGGGGGATCTAGGGTTACAGGGCAGGTGAGAGAGCCTACCTGAGGGGGATCTAGGGGTTACAGGGCAGGGAGAGAGCCTACCTGAGGGGGATCTAGGGTACAGGGCGGTGAGAGAGCCTACCTGAGGGGGGATCTAGGGTTACAGGCAGGTGAGAGAGCCTACCTGAGGGGGGATCTAGGGTTACAGAGCAGGGAGAGAGCCTACCTGAGGGGGGGATCTAGAAAGCGGGCAGGTGAGAGAGCCTACCTGAGGGGGGATCTAGGGTTACAGAGCAGGTGAAAGAGCCTACCTGAGGGGGGATCTAGGGTTACAGGACAGGTGAGAACAGGTGAGAAGACTTACCTGTAGGACTCTTGTTGAGGCAGTGGCAGCAGGGGAGCAGCCGTGGTCGAGGCCGCCGTTCTTGGGTCATGCTGCCTTCAGTGCGTTGATCACAACTCGTGTACAACTCTAGCTAACACCTCCATCACAACCTCACAACCTCCCAGTGGGGTATCGTCCATGGAGGGGGGTCCACGATTCTTGAAGTTCCTAGGTCACAGGAGGTCAAAGGTCACAGTGTCACAACCGCCCACTATGATATTGATCTCTCGTCATTGTGGTGTTTTCAGAGGTTAAACTTATCACTAAAGGTCACTCACAACCTCTTGATAGTGGCACGACCTCCGAGACACTATCGCAACGACCTCAACGACCTCTAACACACTGTCACGACGACCTCTAACCCAAAATCACTTCTACACACCGAAATATCGATCCATGGTCACGTTCCTAAGTTTTCAGTACAGTAGTTGACAACCTTTGGCCACTCTGCCACGGCCTTCACTCTCACAATCACCCGAACATCGATTCACGTTGGTTATAATTTCTGTTCTGTCCGTCATCACAACTTTTACAACCAACCAACGTTCTCCATCGGTTATAGTTCGCTCACATCCCGTTTTCTTTAGCGCAATTATCCCCTCCATTTCCCAGCCTCCGTGACACAATTCCTACTGACATTTCACATTTCTTATTAATTATTTTTTATCAATTATTATATTTCTCAATTATCATTTTCTATCACGTGTATCTGGGAGTTGAACTTTTTTGTGCTGTATTATTATTATTATTATTATTATTATTATTATTATTATTATTATTATTAGTTATTATTATTACTGTTATCATTATTATTACTATTATTATTATTATTATTAATATTAGTTATTTTTATTATTATTATAACTATTATTATTATTATTATTATTATTATTACTATTATTATTATTATTATTATTATTATTATTATTATTATTATTATTATTGTTATTTTTATTATTATTATTATTATTATTATTATTTTTAATAATATTGTTATTATTATTATTATTATTATTATGACTGTTATCATTATTATTATTATTATCATTATTATTATTATTATTATTTTGAACTTAGACACCATTTCTATTCTCATGTTATAAGTCAACCCAAGAACCATTTACTAAAGCACAAAACTACTGTACAACCAAACTACCACTAAAATACTTTCCCTTTATTCAATATAAACTTTCTATATTATTTGTTGATAAAAATATATATCCTTTTATCACTTCAAAAGATAGAGAGTAAAATTATGATAATTTTTTGTGAGTTATTACTATTTCTTTAAGTTTTATCAAATTATATTTAATAAATTTTTACTTTATCAATTTATCATTATTATTGTATTTTGTATCAATTTATTAGCGATTTTATTCCGCTTTATTGACCTATTTATTATTTATTTCAATTTAATTTATATTTTCTCTCTAATTCATTTTGTTTATTTCTCAAATTATACGAGGTGGGTGTATTAATGGGTGTATTAATGGGTGTATTAATGGGTGTACTAGTGGGTGTATTAATGGGTGTATTAATGGGTGTATTAATGGGTGTATTAATGGGTGTACTAGTGGGTGTATTAATGGGTGTATTAATGGGTGTACTAGTGGGTGTATTAATGGGTGTATTAATGGGTGTACCAACGGGTGTATTATGGCGTATTAACGGGTGCATTAACGGCGTACCAATGGGTGTACCAACGGGTGCATTAACGGGTGCAATACCAACGGGTGTATTAACGGGTGCACTAGTGGGTGCATTAACGGCATTAACGGCGTACCAGGCGGGTGCATTAACGGCGCATTAACGGGCGTAACTAGGCGGCGCATTAACGGGTGTACCAATGGCGTATTAACGGGCGTACTAGTGGGTGCATTAATGGGCGTATTAATGCAATTAGTGGGTGCATTAACGGGTGTGCATGAATGGGTGCAATTAGTGGGTGTAATATTATCGGTAATTAGTGGGTGTAATAATGGTGCATTAATGTGGCGCAAATTAGTTGGTGCATTAACGGGTGCATTAGCGGGCATATTAGCGGGTGAATTAGTGGGCGCATTAACGGCGCATTAACGGGTGCACCAGCGGCGCATTAACGGCGTACTAACGGGCGTATTAATGGGTGCACCAGCGGGTGCATTAACGGGTGTATTAATCGCGTACCAGGCGGGCGTAATAACGGGCGTATTAACGGCGTACCAGTGGCATTAATGTAGTGTACCACCGGCGTAATAACGGGTACCAGGCGTATTAACGGGTGCATTAACGGGTACCAGTGCGTATTAATGGGTACACGGGTGTACTAGGTGGCGTATTAACGGGTGCACCAGTGGCAATAACGGGTGCATTAACGGGCAATTAGTTGGTGTATTAACGGGCGTATTAGTGGCATATTAGTGGGTGAATTAGTGGGTGCATTAACGGGTAATAACGGGTGCACTAGTGGGTGTATTAACGGGTGTATTAATGGGTGTACTAGTGGGTGTATTAACGGTGTACTAGTGGGTGTATTAACGGGTGTATTAATGGGCGTACTAGTTGGTATTAATGGGTGTATTAGTGGGCATATTAGTGCGAATTAGTGGGTGTATTAATGGGTGTATTAATGGTGTAATAGTGGGTATTAATGGGCGTGTATTAGTGGGTGTATTAATGGCGTATTAGTGGGTATTAATGGGTGTATTAGTGGGTGTATTAGTGGGTGTATTAATGGGCGTATTAATGGGCATATTAGTGGGTGTATTAGTGGGTGTATTAGTGGGTGTATTAGTGGGCGTATTAGTGGGTGTATTAATGACGTACCAGTGGGTGTATTAGTGGGTGTATTAGTGGGTGGCTAACGGGTGTATTAGTGGTGTATTAATGGGTATATTAGTGGGTATTAGCGGGTGCATTAGCGGGTGTATTAACGGGTGTATTAATGGGTATTAGTGGGTGTATTATGGGTGTATTAATGGATGTACCAGTGGGTGTATTAGTGGTGCATTAGTGGGCGTATTAATGGGTGTATTAACGACGTACTAAAGGGTGCATTAGTGGGTGCATTAGTGGGCGTATTAGTGGGTATTAGTGGGTATTAGTGGGTGTATTAATGGATGTACTAGTGGGTGTATTAGTGGGCGTATTAGTGGGTGTATTAATGGGTGCACACGGGTGTATTAGTGGGTGTATTAGTGGGTGCATTAGTGGGTGTATTAGTGGGTGTAATAATGGATGTACTATGGGTGTATTAGTGGGCGTATTAACGGATGTACCAGTGGGTGCATTAGTGGGTGCATTAGTGGGTGTATTAACGGGTGTATTAATGGACGTACTAAAGGGTGCATTAGTGGGCGTATTAGTGGTGTATTAATGGGTGCACGGACGTACTAAAGCGGTGCATTAGTGGGTGTATTAGTGGGTGTATTAGTGGCGTATTAGTGGGTGTATTAACGACGTACTAGTGGCGTAATAGGCGGGTGCATTAGTGGGTGTATTAATGGTGTATTAATGGATTCACTAAAGGGTGTATTAGTGGGTGTATTAGTGGCGTATTAGTGGTGTATTAATGGATGCAATTAGTGGGCGTATTAGTGGCGTATTAATGGCGTATTAATGGGTGTATTAGTGGGGTGTATTAGTGGGTGTATTAATGGATGTACTAGTGGGTGTATTAGTGGGTGTATTGATGGGTGTATTAATGGATGTACTAGTGGGTGTATTAGTGGGTGTATTAATGGGTGTATTAATGGATGTACTAGTGGGTGTATTAGTGGGTGTATTAGTGGGTGTATTAATGGATGTACTAGTGGGTGTATTAGTGGGTGTATTAATGGGTGTATTAATGGATGTACTAGTGGGTGTATTAGTGGGTGTATTAATGAGTGTATCGGCCACGCAAAAACACCTGAGACACACCTCCCAATTGGTGGCCGTTAATTACAGGTGTGTAGCCGGGGTTTGGCAGGTGAGTAACTCGGCCTCTCAGTCCCTTACCTGAAACAACAAGAAAAACACACCTGTAGGAATCAGTTTGTAATGGTAATAATAAAAAAGTAATAATAATAACAACAATAACAATAATAATAATAATAATAATAACAATAATAATAATAATAATAACAACAATAACAATAATAATAATAATAATAATAACAATAATAATAATAACAATAACAATAATAATAATAATAATAATAATAATAATAATAATAATAATAATAAGAATAATAATACAGTGATGTTAACAATACAATAATACTACTACTACTATTAAAACTACTACTAATACTACTACTGCTACTGATGATGATGATGATGATAACCCAATTGTAAGATAACTCAAGATAATCCCTTAAATATATCTAAGCATCCCTGTAAGCTAAACCAATATAACGATCAAGATAACGGGGAATATAGCGAGTAAGATAACGATTAATAAACCAATTAAAATACCGAGTAAGATAGCAAGAAGGATTCCGAGCAACATAGCGAGAAATATAACAGGCAAGATAACGATGAAGATAACATGTAAGAAAAGCAAAAAGCAAATAGCCAAAAAGATAGTAAGTACGATACCGAGCAAGATAGCCAATAATGCTGTAAGATAGCCGGTAAGATAGCAGCACCGCAGGAGGGGGGAAGGGAGAGGGGGGGTCACGGGGTGTATGTTTGGACAGGTGGGGTTGTGTTTCCTCATTGTGGGGCCAGAGAAACACAAGAGGGCTTTTACCTCCACTAAGCCAGTTAGGAGGAGGAGGGGGAAGAGGAGGAGGAGAGAGGGAGGAGGAGAGGGAAGAGGAGGCGGAGAGGAGGTGAGAGGAAGGAGAGGAGGTGAGAGGAAGGAGAGGAGGTAAGGTGAGGATAATGATGATGAATTGTGTGTGTAAGTAGAGAGAGAGAGAGAGAGAGAGAGAGAGAGAGTCCAAGCCACATATCCGAATAAAATCAAAAATTTTTCACACGCTATAAAAAATATATATATATAATACAAAAAAGTTAAAAAAAGTAAAAAAAAATAAAAATAAAAAAAAATAAAAAAAGTAAAAAAAAATAATCAAAATAATC